CACACTTCAATCTTTAAAAAGTTATATAGCAAAATTACATTTTACTGTATTATAGTGCGATAAAAATTGAAATTGTTTATACTACATTTTCTTTGCAGTCTCCTTTTTTCATTGAAATGACAGAATTATGCATTTAATAATCTAAAAATGGGGATATGCTGTAACAATATAAAATGGCCAAAGCAATCAAACGATGAAGTGGCAGGACTTCAAAAGCAAACTAAAACCTTAAGATGTTGGATTTTAATTTTTCAAAACAAAGATGATTAGTTCAAGTGGTTTATTACGTGTAGCGCAGTTTGATAAATGTACTGTTTTTCTCTTCGATTGAATATCAAACAGATTACACTCCATCTGACTTATCAGATTTCGTTTTAAAGGGTGTATATTGTAATGTCGCAAGTATTTTCTTCATCGCAATCTCGCATTACACTAGGACTAGCTTGTCTTATTCCTTTTTAATCATTGCAATAGATGTCTATTTTCACGTCCAAAATAATTTTCTGTATAAATATCACGCATTTAAATCGAATTAAATGGTCTTTACACTAGGACTGGCTTGTCAGATAACATTTAACATTGGAAAGGAGGTACATTTTAACGTTCGAAATAATTTCTGTATAGCAACCACGCATTTTACTCGAATTAATTTTTCTTTACACTGGGACTGGCTTGTGATATAACTTTGTAATCATTGGAAACGATGTATATTTCAAAGTCCGAAATAATTTCGGCAACAGCAATCCTCGAATTTAACTCGTATGAAATTTTTCTTACATTTCATTTTGTAACCGAGAGCAATATTATTGCAAATACGATATTACTGCAACTTAATCTCAAGAGGGAAACAAGTCACATATATAACTGTTCTCTATTAGATTTTCTAAAAATTGTTTTTGCTTTGATTACACATCCAATTTAGTTGTCAGATAAGAGGCTAACTAAATAATTCAAAAGGAAATATATAAGTAGTATTTCCTCAAAATAACACTAGACAGTGTTTTTTCGTGGGCATGATATCAAGTCTTGGGAAGTGGGACAAGAAATGTCTTGTTAATTTCATAACTTCTAAAACGAAACTATCCTCTATTAATAATCTTAGACAACATTTTTTTTGGCTTTACATCAGCATGACTGATGCTAAACTCCAGCAGAGCAACTCATTGTTTTCTTGATTGGATGTTCTACTGATATGTAGGGGAAAAGTTATATTGAATTAGTTGCGAAGTCTTCTGCTAGATAAAGAGGATCACCATACCGTGCCAGACTTTGTTTCATATTATAATATATCATAACATTTATAAGTCTACAGTTCATGCGAGCATTAAATATTACTGCCACGTCTGCTCTGGGACTTCTATTCTGTGTTTAATAAACTAAACAAAAGAATTGGTAATTGTTCAGATCAGCTTTCCTCGTCAGTACACCGACATCATGAATTTAATCAAAGTACGTGATTGACAACTATGTCTCATAATGACACTGTAAAAAATTCCATGTTGTAACGATTTTCTATGACTATAGTTTCGTATTTCTCCTTTGTGAAATTCTCATCCTTGTTACTGCTTTCCTTTCAAGTACGATATTCAAACAAATTAAAAGTAATGTAATTCGAAATCATTCGTATGCTCATTTATTGGCTTCTCTTTTTCTTTGACAGAGTGAAGACGGAAATAAACACTAATACAGTCAATCATCAAATGACAAAAATGGATTCTGAGTCGGAGGATTCCCGAATCATTCGTGTTAAGAATTCAATCCTTTGAACAATTATATATTTAACCTTTTTCTACCCATGGGCAGCGTTCTCACCACCAATAACAAACACGCTTCGTAAATATTTCGAAGAGTATGTAAGCAAAGGAAAATGAGCGACATGCCGCAACAGATTCACGATGCCACGGCTTATCAGAAATTACCTTATTCCTTCAACCATCTTCTTCACCAAGTCACGTAACATTTATCTTCTTCCTGACCAAGCTACGTGACATCTGCTGTCTTCCTTACCAAGTTACGTGACATCTGCACTCTTCGTCACCAAGCTACGTGACATCTGCACTCTTCGTCACCAAGCTACGTGACATCTACACACTTCGTCACCAAACTACGTGACATCTGCACTCTTCGCCACCAAGCTACGTGACATCTGCACTTTTCGTCAACAAGCTACGAGACATCTGCACTCTTCGTCACCAAGCTACGGGACATCTGCACTCTTCGTCACTAAGCTACGTGACATCTACACTCTTCGTCACCAAGCTACGGGACATCTGCACTCTTCGTCACCACGCTACGTGACATCTGCACTCTTCGTCACTAAACTACTTTGCCCATACACGCTTCCTCTCAAAGCTACGTGACACACCCACGCTTCCTCATCATACTACATGACATTTACACACTTCCTCGCGTAGCTACGCCAATGGTACTTTCTCACCGAAGTATGTAACAATTACAGTTCCCTCCTCACTTACTCCTTTGTCTCTTTTTCACACATACACGCGAAGAAATCGCCTTTCTTTGTATCTTAAGAAATAACTACAAACAAGGAACCTTAATAATCGTACATGCTGAGAAATATTCAGTTACGAAAATACTAAACTAAAAATATTTTATATTTTTCTAATTAAAACATTTTCCCCCATTTTTCCTTTGGTGTATTGATTCAAATTTGTAACAAGTTCACTGTGAGTAACAACTTGCATCTTAGTTTTTTTGAGTTTTTTGCCTTGATTGGGGTGAAAGCAAAGATACAAAACAGTCACAAATTGTTAGAAATTGACTTAGAATTATTTAAATTCCGACGTTTTATCCCCGTTTCATAAAACATAAGATGTATCATTTATTTACATACTTCATTTAAGGGAGAGTTTAAGTTACCATGAATGATCTAGAGAATATATTTTAAGAAAAAGTAATATTTAGCAAGATTATTTGATTGTCTAGTTAATTTACTGACATATCAAACGTATAATATTACAGGGAAAAAATGAATCAATAGACATACAAAGCACGAGTTTCCACTGGTGTCGAAGGTTATAGCTATTCATGTTACTTGTTACGCTCAAATGTATACATAGTTCAGGCTTAAACCTGAGTCATAAAGTATACATACGTGACTGATACTCGATTCTGGAAGCAAAAATTTGGATGGAAAGGGGCAATTGATCCTGTGTCGGGTTTTATTGTTTGTAACTGATGATTTTTTTTCTTCTACATTTTATAAACTTATTGTAGGTTAAAGCTGGAATATATTAATAAAACCTATCATAGTGTGACTGAATATTGCATTACTTTGAGCTAACAAAGAACTTTTCGAGATAGAAATCTAGAGCTAATAAAAAAAAAAAAAAAAAAACTTTTCCAGATGAAAATCCTCTTCATAAGCTAGACATGGAGGGAGAAGTATTTAATTAATACATTTACAAGCATATTTTGTTTGTTTAGTTTTGGTTTACGGTATATCAACCTCAGTGGGTTTTTTAAAGACAAGACATTTATTGCTGGTAATAATTTTTCAAAAATATATTGCTGTTAATGTTTTTGGTTTTTTTTTTTAAATATATTGCTGGTAATATTTTTCTTTAAAAATTTATTGCTGGTAATATTTTTTTTTTTAAATTATTGCTGGTAATATTTTTTTTTTAATTATTGCTGGTAATATTTTTTTCCAAAATATATTGCTGGTAATATTTTTTTTTCCAAAAAATACTGCTGATAATATTGTTTTTTAAAAAAATATACTGCTGGTAATAGTTTTTTTTTTTTTTTTTTTTTTTTAAAAATCTATTGCTGGTAATACATTTTTTACGGTGGAGTAATGGTTAGGGGCTCGGATTGAGGAATCGGACAGCCAAGTTCGAATTCTAGTCGAATCCATTGCGTACATTTACGTGCTAATACACTTGGGAAAGGTTTGAATACACTTCCCCTCCCCCATCTAGGGGTAAATAGCAAGACAGACCGAGTTTTATAGCCTTGGATTGCAACTGGTCTACCACAGAAAGAAACTGCCACATATTACTGGAATAAATCTGCCTCATCAGTCATGTATTGAAACTACATGATCGCCTAAACGTGTATCACACATTGCACATAACTGATCGCTGGTATAATTTTTCCTAAATATATTGCTGACAATAGTTAAATATATTGCCTGCAATATATCTTTTTTAAAAAAAAGTAGTGCTTGCAATATTTAAAAAAAAATGTATTGCTGGCAATATTTGTGAAATATGTATTGCTGGCAATATATATATATATATTTTAAATGTATTGCTGTCAATATTTAAAAAAAAATGATTGCTGACAATATATATTTTTTTAAAATATATTACTGATATTATTTTTATTCAAAATGTATTGCGAGTAATATTTTTAAATGTATTACTGGTAATATCGTTTTAAAAAATGTGTGGCTCGTAATATTTTTTTTCAAAAATATATTGCTGGCAATACGTATTGTTGATATTATATTTTAAGTGTATTTCTGCTAATATTTTCTTCAAAAATATATTGTCGGTAAAAATGTTTTAAAATTTTGTGCTGGTAAAAAAATCTTTAGCTGGTGATATTTTTTTTTCAAAAATGTATTGCGGATAATATATTTTAAATGTATTGCTAGTAATATTACTTTAAATATCTATTTCTGGTACTATTTTTCAAATACGTATTGCTGGTAATGTCTTTTTTCAAGAAATGTATTCCTGATATTAATTCACTTGCAATTTAGAGTAAATGATAAACTATTTTAAGACGATGTAAAGAGTTTTGAATTGATTTTTCCTTCTGTTAAATCTATACTTTTAATTTTTTGTGGAGGATAACTTACCTTTGCTGCTTTCTGTCTTATATATATATATATATATACATTTTCTTCTGTTTGTTTGTAGAAAGCGCCAGGTAGCTGGATATTAAGTGAATTCACATGCTCGTAAATCCCCAACAACTGTTCCATAACCTCGTAAACATCAAATATGTAAATCTACAGACTGAAGCTC